TAAAAAAGGGTAATTAAGCCATGTGAGGAATGTTATTGGCCAGAAAACTTTAAAAGGCACAGCACGTTAGATGTCCGTTTCACGGATAAAAAGGAATGTTCAATTTCATGCTGAGAGATAAATATTCTTCAGTAAAACTTTCGATGATCTAGGCTGATAGATGTTAATTTCACAGTTTAAAACGTGGGGAGGGTCGAATGGTACTAGATATAGACACCAAAATTATCTCCCAATGATATATATATATATACAGTGTAACCCGGATATAAGAGAGTTGTCGGGATCGGAGAATAAGTCTCTTATATCCGGGTTTGGTCTATTTTGTTTAGGTAAGTATGGGCTCTAATTTGGGACCAGAGAAAATCTCTTATATCCGGGTTTTTTATATCCGGGTTACACTGTATATATATTTCTTTAAAAGAAGTAACTGAGTTTTTCTTTGACTCGCTGTACGGACCTCCATGGTCGAAAGGCTAACTGACCACCTAGCTAAAAGTCGGTTTCCCACATAAAAGTGATGCAAATTTCATTCCTACAATGGAGTAAATTTTCTTTTGATCATCTAGGCTGGTAGACGTCCAGTTTGTTTTGTTTTTTTTTTAAGTTGGGTGCTATGTCTGCACAGACGTGTGAAAGCATTAAAAATAATGTTCACAGTAAAAAAAAAAAAAAATTAAAGTTCAATTCCTGCTGATAGGTAAATTTTCTTTAATAAGACTTTTGATGATCTAGGCTGGTAGATGATCAGATTTTTTTAATGAAGGTATGGGTAAAAATTAAGTTTATATTAATAAGAAACACGGCGTACAAAAGTCAAGGTAAATAGTAGATAGCAACTGTGTGGAAATAAAGGGAAAATAATTATCAAATACAGAAAATTAATTCAGAAACAAGACAAGAATAAATGTGTTTGCTTGGAAAAGATAATGTAGAAGAGTAAAAAGCTAACTGATAAAAAAAAAACAGTAAAAGCTTTATAAAATAAACTTCTCAGATAAAGGCCTCTATAAAAAAAACAGTAAATGATGTTCATAATTAAAAATAATGCTAAAATAAACTTCTCAGATAAAATAAAGTATTCAAAAAATTATCAAATATGACTCCCAAAACAAGACAAGAATAGACATGACTGAGTAGGGTTAGAGACACTTCTGCAATGGTGTACTGGTCTTTGACATGACTAACTTGTTAGAAGAGACCAGTCATATGGTTAGAAGGCAGACTTATTGATTCTAAGGCAAAGTCGGATGGTTGAAGCGACAATCCGATGGTCTGTAGATACTCTTTCAAATGTATTGAAGGTCTAGCGGTTCATTGCACTGTTCTTCCACTTCTTGTTTATAAGAATGGATTTTGTCTCCAGGAGATGTTAAATATAGTTCTCAGCATTCAAATGTAATTTCCATCAAGCTCAGACTGTAGGATTTTAGTTAATGTCCAAGCAGTGATACCATACATTAACACCGCCTCTACAATGGCTTGAAAGAATCTTTGCATGAGGTTGTCTGATAGATAAGATTCCCAGATTAGATCCATTTTTCCAAGGTGGTGCAGGCTTTATCTATTCGAATTTCCACATCCTTTTCAGTAAAATTTGTCTCGCTTCCAAGGTATGTAAAAGATTTGATAGATTTTATTGATTCACCCGAGACAGTTTCTATAGTTTTGCTGGTTGTGGCCTATGAATTCAGTTTTATAGGGATTGACATAGTACCCAACATCATTGTAATGTTTTCTGGATGCTGTAGGAGGACTGTCACATTGGTAATGGCCTTGAGACTTATTTGTTCTAAAATTGTGTGTATTTTTTTTTTTTTTTTTTTAGATATTAATTTTTTTTAAATTTTCATTTTCATTTTTTAAAATCATGATTGCCGTATTTGCCGGCGTCAGAGACATTGTTTTTTTTTTTCCTGAAATAAGTCATGAAAATTTGCATAACATACAGGAATTCATTTTACTGTCTGGTATAAATAAACTTCCTCTGGGGTTAGCATAGGCCTACGAAAACCCTAACCTGCCATATCTGGTCTGGTGCCCCTGCTATTCATCTCGAGGTTCTTGACAAAATCCAAAGAAGGATCTGCAATATAATCGATCCTGACTTGGCATCTCGGTTTCAGTCGCTTTCCCGCTGACATAATGTGGCTTCCCCTCTGTCTTTTCTACAAATCTTTTCATAGCAACTGCTCCGACAAGCTTTTTCCCTGGTGCCCTCACTACATGAATTCAAACGTACTACAAAATTGGCATCTAGATCCCACTCGTTTACGGTTGAAATAGCTAAATGCAACCACCACTTCTACACCGACAGTTTCTTTTCTCGCACTTCCCGAATGTGGAACTCTCTTCTGTTTACTTGCTTCCCTGATAACTACAATCTTCAAAAATTTAAATGCAACGTCAATCGCCATCTTCTATCTTCTTGAAACCCGTTCATCTTTTGTTCTTTCCTCAATTCTCCTTATCAGTCTTCTCTTTCACTTTCCCTCCCTGTAATTCCCTGCGTACTAGTGGCATTCACGTCTTGCTTGGGGTGAAATGATTAAAAAAAAAAAAGCTAAAAAAGCCTTCCCACGGCAAATTTTCGAGACTTATTTCAGGAAAAAAAAAAGAATCCTCGACGCCGGCAAATACGATACATTAGATAAAAAAAAATGACTTTAAAAAATATTGTATAAAAACAAAAGAATTTTTTTTAATCGTAATGATATTTAAATAAAATTGTTTGTAAAAATTTTGAAAGATTTTACTTCGTAACTATTTACCTCTATCAAGATTTAAAATATTTTATTATACATCATCACTATACTTTGCCATAGGACATTTTATTTTATAATATAATTTCGTTTATTGATATTGGTAATTTGACACTAAATAAACAATGAAAAAGAAATACTTATTCAGTAGTATTAAATAATTTACTATCTTTCTACACGATGAGTCTTGATAACGATTTTTTGATTTTTCTATGTACCGTGTCTCTTCAGGGCGTTGGCGATCATGGCTCGCCACAATTTTCTGTCCTTTGTAGCTCTTAATAAACGTTGTATTCTTGTTATCTCTTCTAAATCTTGTTCCACCATCCATTTACTCAAATTATACGTTGTTTTCCTTTATCCCTGTTGCCTTACATCTGTCCTGTGAGTATCAAATTTTCCAAGCCCATTTTCCACATTACGTGCCTGAGAAATTTCAACTATCTCTTCCTGGTGTAAATTATGTTTTTTTTAGTTTCCATTTTCTTTAAAACTTGATCATTGCTCATATTTTCGGTCCATCGCATTTTAAAAATCCCTCTGTAGAAACACATTCCTGTTGATTCAAATCTCCTCTTTATCTATGAGGAGATTGTCCAGCATTCCCTAGAATATTTACTTATACAATAAGTCTATGTAATATATACAGATCTTACAAATTATATACAAGTCTCTTAAAATTTTGACCATTGTTAAAATATAAAAGCTTGCAAGTTTCGTTTATAAGAAAAATGGTCGGCTCCCTGTACTATTTCAGTAATTACCTGACTCCTTATGCTAGCCTCTTCCTTTACAAGAGTCAGATCAGATCGAGAATGGAGTACTGTTATATTTCCAATCTCGATAGAATTCAAAAGCGTCCCCGTGTCCTTGCAAGTGACAAATTATTTTCCACCCTCCACTCTCTCTATTAGAGGCGGTTCGTGGCAAGCCTTTCTATTGCTACTTCTATGAAAAGTGCTCGGACGAACTACATTCCTTGGTTCCGCAAGTCCTAACCTTTATCTTCCCCTCCTATCCGTACAAACTGCTTCCTAACGTAACCCTCGACCTCGAGTTGGCCCGGGACTTTTACGGGGTCAACCTCACTGTAAAAAAAAAAAAATGGCGACTGTGAACTGACAAACTAGGAAAAGTAGCTTTTCGTAATTAGCTGAAGGTAATCCAATTAAAAGTGCAAACAACTGAATTTTTATGCTATAGATCAACAGTTTAAAAAATGTCAAATCCTCTAAGATACTGAAATTAAATGAATCTTTCAAACCAAGGCGGAGAGTTGAATGTTGTATTCAATAATTAAAAAAAAAATACAAAAAAAAACCTGTCAAGAATTAATTTGACTGTTCAGGCAAACCATGAAGTAAATATTAAGGCAAGTGGAAAAAATGGCTGATAGACCCTTGCTAAGGGGCTGAGGAAACTGTAGAACACAGTTGTATGAGTCGTTTTTAGAGCCCAGGGAACGGTCAAAGAAGATAGGAGCAACTGGGAATCAATGGAAGTTTCAGAACTATCCAAATGATTGTATTACTGAAAGCAGCTAAAATACTTAGGAGGGTGCTGGCGAAAACTTGCTGTCATTTGATTTCCGGTATAAGCTATCAGTTAGTGCTGATGTAAACTAAGTTAATAATAATAGTAATAATAATTGTCAGAATGTTGAACTTTCTAGCCACTATTGTCCTAGTTATCATTGAGGCCTGCACCACCGAACTTAAAATATATATATATATATATATATATATATATATATAATAAGAAAATTGGAATAAATCTTCGTATCCCGTCGCTTAACAAGTCTATGTTGCCTGGTATTGCAAATATTCTACGAAAGGTACCTCTCTGAGGACGTACGACTTGATGGCAAATGCTTATAATGCAAGATTGCTAGTTATAAACCATGCGAACAAAGATGATATTAATATGTGAACTTTCCCAGAAAAGATAAAAGAACTGTAAAATATGAACGTGACTATTGTAAACGTCATTATTGTAGTATATTGAATAATTCCGTAGTGTCTTTTAAAGACTACAAACACTGGAAGTCTGTGGAAAATAAACGTTTCAAACAATAGTAATATCGAAATCAGCCAGAATACTGATGAGTGTTGAAGTAGTAAAATAACTTACTGTCCCGTGATTTCGAACGAACGTGAGACGATAAAACTGATGTGAACACTCATCAAATATTTTATAATGTGATATATTGTAAAAGAAGCGGTGAAAAGAAATATAACTAACCTTAGGTTCCTTATTAGGGATATTTTGACATTTTTTTTTTAAAACTCCGTTGTATGACTTAGATTTCTCCTCTTTAGTTTACTGACGATAACGAGTTCGTCTGGAAGCTTTCAAGACGCTCCAGGTCATTAAATTCGCATCTCTCTCTCTCTCTGATTCTCTCTCTCTCTCTCTGTGACTCACTTACTTCCACGTCTTCAGCAACCAGTTAGTTTCCTGGAGTCTAATTCTTGTTCACTTTCCCTTCATCCTCATGTAGATTCCAGGTGACAAGCATTCTCAACAATTCAAAGCCTCTTCTTCCGCCCTCTCCTCCGTCTTATTCTTTCTTTCCCTTGTGAACCAATTGCGACCAACAGGTTATTCTCCACGCCCAGAAATGAGCAGAGATAACGAATCGATCCAATCAAGGTCGATAACTCGCGCTTTCATTTAGCATGTTGTTGTCTATTCCAAATTCGTTAACCGGTGCACTACGCTACGATGTCTTCACTAATAAAAGCTAATGCATGCTTCCTGTTTGCATGTCCACTATTAAATATTGATACCAATAGAATATAGCAAAATGCGAGCCGACAAACTGGTATTAAATTTGTTGATCAAATGATAGGGGATCAGATTCCGTAAAGTTTCGGTTAACAAACACCCGACTTCCGCCTTCATTCAGTCTGAAACAGACAAAACTGGAAAAGGTAGTTTGCATGAAGATGGAAAAGAATGATGGGAGAAAAGCTAAAGAACGCTGAATGAAAAAGTTCGATTTTGTTTTAAAAAAAAAGAGGGGGGGTAATATTGGTGAGATCAACCGTTTCCATACAGGAAACTTTTGACATTCATTAAATTAACACCTAGTCTTACTATCAGTTGACATTTACATTATCTATTTCGGCCTTCGTCAGGTGATTGTAATTTCGATCGGACCCTTTATCTCATCCACCGGGATAGATTGTTCTAGTTCTACGTGCCATGCCTCTTCCGGATGTTTCAGTTATTTCCTTTTAACTCGATTCTCCAATTTTTTTTTTTGGTTCACCAGTGCTGTAGCACCGTATTGAACTCACTGGTTCTAGTTACTGAATTTAACCAATGCCTTTATCCTCTGAAGAAGGCAGGAGCGTAAAATAGCCGAAGCGTTGTGAATATGGCAATGAAGATGAGGATAACAGTCCGAATAATGTAAATAATCATAATACCTCATCTCAGGGATATAGACAAACAGTTGACATTTATATATTTTTTTCTTCGAACAGTTTTTCAGGAAATTAGACTTCTCAAGAACACTGTTATCGCTCTTTCTAATACTGATGAGCGTTTCCTTCCTAACCTTTTGCATAACGTCGTGTGAACACTTTGATTATTTTCCCTTTTAGTTACATGAGCTGTCCATTTTAGTTTTTGTTATTGTAAGTGTTTAAGTGTTGAGGATTAGTTATTTGCTAAATTTCTTTGATTGTGATTCTGTAGCGCCAGTCTGATGAAAGATTGTCTTCTTTAAGGCCGAAATGCTTAATTCAAATCAAAAATGGTGACATTTGAATATAGTGGTTCTTTTTGGCTTTAACTATTCACTGTTAACAATCACGTTTAAAAATTGTCTGAATGTAGGAATAATTAACGATTTTTTAATAAATAAGCTCAATACGCAGTGAACGGTTTTAACGATTTTTATAATGCTTTATATTGACTAAAGGATGTTTTATAATGCTTTATATTAAATAAATTTGGCTTAGGTCAACTGGAGCTAAAAATATTGCATTGTGCCAATCTTCCAAATGTGGGAGGATCTGCATTTCACCTAAGCTCGAAATCTGATCCCCTAGCATTGGTGAGAAAAAGGTAATTACGTCACCTACAGAGCTAGACTAGTTTTTACTGATCCACATCCCTTCTTTCGTATTTCAATATCTGTTAATTTATTTTAAAATCAATAACCAATTTAATTTCAATGTCTGTTAATTCATTTTAAAATCAATAACTATTTAATTTCAGATCAATATTTCAATATGGTTGCTATTATATTTGTATTGAAAAAAATTCTGAATCTATAACAAACCAAAATGCTGAAAATCTCACTTATTTTTCCACAAAGGGAATATTACAGTGTAGCGCCATTATTATCCAGACATCTTGAGACAGATGTAAAAAAAAATATTCGGATAATTCCAAAATCCCAACTAATTGAATACTTAAATTATTGAAAAAGAATAAAAAAAAAAATTTCTGATAGAACTTTATCATCAAATAACATTTTCAAACGCTTTGCTCAAGATTCTGTCGCGTTTATTTTTTATGAAAAAAATCGTCAATTCTTTTTGCTGGCTGGCTTCGCGTTTTTCTGTCGCTAACTCACGAAGCCGGAATAAAATAAATGTATTTATAAAGGTCGTTTCTGATTGAAAGCAAAAACAACTGAAGCATTGTCAAACATATTTAATTCTTCGTTGTTTGGAAATTAGTTTTGGTGATGTTGAACTTCAACATGGACAATATCCCCTCTACAACATTTTCCAGCGCGGTTCCATTTCCCTGTGAAGCACCGTTCACGTGTGTCGGGTGCATCTGGGAATTGCGTAAGCCATAATCTCTGGCCTGACCAAGGCTGTCATAATTCAAACTTATGTTCTGTATGATAACGATAAAATTAACAATGTTGAACTGAACTGATTTTATCAGCATTTTTTATCAAACATGAAGTCCTCTAAATTTTCAAAACGCTAATCTGCGTTTAAATATTAGAAAGTGTTTAGTTTGGATCAGGGGTCCTTAACCTTTTGATGATTCCAAATCCCCAACGGATTGTACAATATGGTCCCTTACCCACTTCACTGTCGAAATAATTATCACCAATCCTATTATTTTCCAGTATGTCTTCCAAATATTTCAATCGCTTGAATTTACTGTACTTTAGATATGGATTACTAGGAATAGAACATGAAATAACATAAGCATTGATAACTTTATTTTGCTTTCAGTAAAAAAATATTATAAAGTTATAATTTAGTTTTATTACAAATCGAGTCCCATACCTCCAGTATTTGGTTCCAATACCCCCAAGGGGTATGGATACCCCGAATGGGTAGGGATACCCCCGGTTAAGAACCACCGGTTTAGATAATTTCAGATTTTTTCTTTGTTTCATGTCCGAATGATCGAGAAAGTATTGTATTATCTTTTCTGAATTTGTAGAATTTTACGAAGTTGTGTTTTCAATATTTCTTCTACAAAATCTGCTATTACACATCTCCCTCCTTTAGTCCTCAGGGTATCAGAGTTTGAATTCCAATCAAATCCATTACGTGCTAATACCCTTGAGAAAGGTATGAATCCTCTTCTCCCCCCTCCCCATCAGCTATGGGTAAATAGCAGGACAGACCGGGTTCTATAGCCTTAGATGGCAACCTACTGCAGGAAAAAATCTGCCTCGTCAGTTATATATCGAAAGATACATGATCACCTACGTGTGTATCATGCACGACACATAACTGACTGACTGAGTATCTGTTGTTGGAGTGCTAAGCTGGCTTCTTGAGCCTGAGAATTCATTGAATATGGGAGGTCGTTCTGGAGTACCCGGGTAGATAGGAGTAGGATATGAACCAGCTGAGGTTAAATTGAAAACAGCTGGACCTGCCGCAAAAATGGATACTGAACATTTATTTTCGACTGACGGTTATCAATAAGTAAAGTCAATTCCTAAGTACAGATCAAAAGTCACGGAATGAAGATAAATTACTTTTTTAGACGAATATGACAACACAAAGAACATTTATATCTATAAAACTGACCATCCCGCTAAAAGACACAGACAGAGGAACGAAGCGGACCTCAGAAAACGGACAGGGAAGACAGAAGCTAGACTGTGCACCTCTCCCCTCATCCACACCTCAACTCGATTTCGCCCACTTACAGCTGTAGGTTACGATCCAAGAATAAAATCTGGTTTACTACTAGAAGAATTTTTTTTCTATTGGCTGACCAGCCAACACTAGTATAGTCAAGAGTACCTAAGATCTCTTGTGTCGTAACAGTTATCTCTCCGCTAGACGCTTGTCAGTAACCGATCATTTTGATCGGATTAATTTGGTTTGTGTTTCAACTTTATCAACTGTTAGATTAGTCGATTGTCTTTCTCGATAAATGGTATTCTCAACAGCGTATCTGCAACTATCAACCTTCTTCCTAACAGAAACTGCTTTTATATTAAACTTCAGTGGTTCATTAATAATCATTAGCAATGAAGAAGTGTTTCATTTAAATCTCTTAATGGAATTAATGGTTTATGATCGCTTTATAGCATGAAGGATTCCAGACCAATTAAATACCTCTCGAATTTATGACATGCCCAGACGGCGGCCACATTCTCTAACTGAGCTTAGTCCCGTTCTGATTAGCATTAACGTTCGTGAGCAAAACTCTACGACTTTACGAATTCCATTATGTTCTTGTCAGAGAACACCAACGATATTAAAGTTACTTACATCCAAATTGATGACAGTTGTTTTTTCTTCAAATCAAAGTATTCGAGAGTTAGTTCTGTTAATAGTGTTTTTTGGGGTTTTTTTTAACTTGGTTAAGAGCAGGGATCTGTGGTTGTCCCCAACAACACTCTTTGTCCTTTTCTAGCAATTCAGATACCAGCCGAAGTGTTGTTGATAAATGCGGAATATCTCAGCCTAAAATGTTTATCATACCCAGCATCAGTTTTAGTTCGGAGATATTTTATGGATTCGGCATTTTTAATATGGCCTTCTCTTTAACTGAGTCAAGGTGTATTCAATTTTCCTTAATGTGATGCCCAAGAATTTTTTATCTCCTTTCATTTCAGTTCAGATTTTTCTTTAATTTCAGTCCGACAGATTGAAGTCTTTTAAACACGGTTCAGATGACTTATGTAAAATAATAGATATGACGACATCATTAAAGTAACCAATAATGTTGTCTTTATCAAGAATCTCTTCAATAGTATATTAGAAGACTTCAAGGGCCGGCGAAATTCCAAAAGGAAGTATTTGGGGAAAAAATAGCGACCTTAGGTTGATAATCTTGCAGAGTCACTCAACTGAGATTTACCAGACTCCAGAGATTGCATCAAGTTTGAAGATTTTAGCCCCTTTTAATTTATATAAAAGATCTTCGAATAAGATGTATTTCGTGTTTCCTGGCTTGATTTGGATATAGCGGTTTTCTAAACGTAGCTTAGATGTGGCACAAGGCAGAAGGTATGGAGCACCCAGAAAGAATCGAACTCGTTATTCAGTCGTAATTGTTTTAGCTAGA